CGGTGCCTGACACGTCCAGCCCTGCTTGTAAGAGGGGGCAGTTTTTATTTAAAATAAAAATAAAAGTTTTACGCTTTTGAATGTTTTAGTCGAATTAAAAATAGTGGAAGCTAATTGGTCTGTTAACGTCTTAAAAGTTAGCCAAAAAGCTAATCTGCTTCATGAGAAGCTAGTTCAGCTATTAGCGATTAGCGGAACTGTGCCCATTACTGGTTTTGAGATAATAAAAAAAACAGAACATTACAGAATAATCATTATAATTATAAAATGTTTACTTTTGCACCATGTAAAGCATTCTTACACATTTTTGCAGCTCCTCCTCTGCCTCTCTGATCTCGTCCTCCTTCTGTTTCTTCTGCTTGTCCACCAGCTTTTTGCTCAGGTAGTAGAACTCCAYGCACTGGGACACGCTCTTTGTCCTCACCTGTGACGGACAGCAAAGAAGTGTCCGGTTTACACAGAGGCCGACAGTAAATAATGGTTTGTTGATTTATTTTTTCACGCTGATGTGCAGTTTAAAGCGTCACTGTTAGTCGTTAAAAAAACCTGAACAGGCACAGGCCTGAAAACAACTCTGTCCTCACTGCACTTCAGGAAAAACACTCATTCTTCTAATTACAATGCTTCAGGGGGAAAACTCAAACTGAACAACAGCAGAGCAAAAACAAATAAAAAATAAAAAATAAACTAAAAGAAGCAACCACCTATCAGTGTCATTTTACGATTAAATATTTGTTTTATGGGTTGGTTTCCCACAAGAGTAGGTTTTTACTTTAATTTCAAACAAATTGCTAAATGTTGCTGAGAAATATAAAATGTTTAAATTTTATGACATCGGGTTATAAACAATTAATATCTTACCTGCTGTAGATAGCTCTTTGAATGACCTCATCTAGGACAAATAGAACTCAGACCATCATCAAACTGAGCTCGTTCAAAGAATCTTCTACAGCAGGTAAGATGTTAATTGTTCATCACCTTCACACTGAACCCTATTTTAGAGTCTCTGATTCGCTTCAGACCCTCAGCCTCTAACATAAACTGTTTTATTTATGATTTTCTTGAACACATTTTCCAAACTGCTCAGAGCATATCATATCTTTAAACAATGAACACAGGTTTTAGTGGAGAAGTTCCAGGATCAAATTTAACGTTTTTTCCGTTAGGTGGAAAACTGAACAGAAAAATCATTAAATAAGCAACAAAAAATAAAGAAAATACTGAATCTTGAATAAAAGCGTCACCATTTTCTTTATGAGTGAAAAGTCTTTTCCATGTTTCCCAAAAGCTGCACTGAAGAGACTCTTTTCAGCGTCCGTCCAAAAATCACAACCTGCAGAGACGAGAGAAGAGGAAGAACGACGAAAAGAAGAAAATTACTTTTTCTGAAAAAAGGCTGTTAAAATTACTGAAAGAGCTGAAACTGACTTATAAAAGCTAAAAAGGTTTAACACTAGCTAGAAACAAAATGAGAAAAACACTAAAAGCTACAACAAGCTAAGCACTAGTTAATACTTAAATGTAGCAAAAATACTAATTAAATGCTAAAAAAGCAAAACACTATCTAATGAGTAAATGTACCAAATACTAGCTAAATGTTAAAACAAGCAAAGCACCAGCTAATAACTAAATGTACTAGCTTAAAAACTACACCTGCAAAACACTAGCTAAAAGGAGCTAAGTGTTAACTAAAAGTAGCAGAACTCTAGCCAAYAACTRAATTGGTAAAATCTTAGCTAAARGAAGCAAAACACTAGCAAAAAGCTACAACAAGCAATACATTAGGTAAAAGCTATAACAAGTMAWACATCAGCTAAAAGAYAAAACAAACAAACATTAGCTAAAATGTGCAAAAATGCTATTTTAAAGCAGCAAAAACACTAACTACATGTAGCAAAATATTAGCTAAAAGCTACAACAAACAAAACACTAGGTAAAGGTTAAACAAGCTACACGCTGACTAAAAGCCAAAAGTAGCTAAATGTTTTGCTCAAAGCTAGGGCTGTGTATTGGCAAGAATTTGGCGATACGATACATCTCATGACAGAGGGGTCACGATACGATATATCCCGATATATTGCGATACTATAAGCAAGGCGATATATTGTGATTTTTTTGTCCAAAAATTCTATTAAATAAAAACCTCTTACAGGGGAAAAAATGAAAAACCAAACTTCGTTGTCTCAGAAAATTCTAATATTACACAGACAG